TTGGCAGCCTGCTCTGTTGGGTACTGTGTGTAGCCTCTCGTTTATCTTCATCACTGTCTCTGCAAGGTCCTGCTGGGGATGCTGAGCCTCTTCACTCCCACAAGACAACAGCCAGCTAGAGCTAGGCGGTGTGCCTGTCCCCTCCACGGGCCCCTCATCCAGTTCACCACAGCCCCTTCCACTCCATCATGCCTCCCACGGGGCCCAGATCACCCCTCTAAGTACCTTCTCAGCCCTTTCTGGCAGTTTGAGATCCCTGCTCTGCCAGGTGGCTGAGTCTCTACCAGCCCTGCAGTGAGTCACAATCTGTCTTTGCAGCAAGGGGACTGTTTCTGTGTTGAGAACTCACAACTCCCCAGGGGTATCAGCCCTCTCTGCAGAGAGCAGGGACAGCTGGAACCATAGAGAAGCTGAAATGGTGAAGAGGCACCTGTGGAAGATAGCCAAGGGCAGATGGAGGGGACTCCCAGGAGAGGAAGTGAGGTTCCAGACCCTCAGAAGAGAAACAAATGTCCAGAGGCCAAGAGAAGCCTTGTCTCCAGGGGGCAGGATGCTGCAGCCGCTGCTGAGGGGCTAAGAAGAGGACATCCCAGCAAAGACCCCACATCGGACAGTAGGAGGGAGACCATGACCTCTGAGAAAACTGATTCTGCAGCATAATAAGCAAGGAGCCAGGCTGCAAAGGGTTTGGTTTTTTTTGTTGTTTTTTAAGACCAGAAGCCAGCTGCGTGAAGACTGATTGGACAAGGCTTCAGCTTTGTCCACACACTGACTGGTGTACACCCAGAGATGCTGTACGGAAAACAGTTTCTCCACTCCTTCCAGAAATGCTCCTAAAACTGGGTTTTTCCTCCATTTTTCCCCAGGTCACTCCATTTTGCTTTGTTCCACATTCTTTAGTACAAAAGAGACTAATGCACATGAATACAGTTGGGAGATTTCCCAGACTGAAAAAAAAAAAACAAACAAACCAGAAACACTTTGGTTTCCATAGCTGTGAAAGCGTTACTCCCTAAATACCTGGGTCCATCACCATTTTTTTAAACAAATCCCAGGAGAGCAAGCCAAAATGCCACCCAGACTCATCCCATCCTACCTCTGCCCGGATACCCAACCCTGATCGAGTAGGGGGCATGAGTGGAGCCAAAGGTCAGACAAGACACAGTGTTCAGTCCAGTCCGGTCTCTGTGCAGGGCCAGAGTCATTCCTGAAGTCATCAAGATAACCTCAGAAAATGACACTTCGTGAAATCTCCTCTCTTGTTCTCTCACGGGCTGTCCATATCCCAGGCCTCCCCACTTTCTCTTCCTGTCCTCTCCCTACCACCCCAAATCTCCCAAATCCACCAGGGCATCCCTCATCATATCCTGGGGTCTCTTTCCTACCCTCTCAGTTTTGCATCAGGGGGTCCAGGAACTGACGTGGCGGGGACGAGCTTCATCTTGAAGGACAAGAGCAGAGAAGGTGACCCAGCCAGGACAGAAGTCCCTTCAGGAGTCCTTTCACTCACGTGCTGCAGAATTCTGCTCTTTAACAAATATGAACTCTCACTCATTGTGCCAGACGGAGTGCCCTGGGGGCTGAAGGTCCTGCCCTGGTAATACCCCACCCCAAGCAATATCAGTTAGGATGCCCTCAAGAAAATGGGGAAATGTAACCCAGAAGTCCAGAGGCAACGTGTGCTCAGGTGAGCTAAAAGCACGCCCTTTCTAGCACTTCCCTGGCAGTCCAGTGGTTAAGACTCTACTTCCACTGCAGTGGGCATCAGTTCAGTCCCTGGCCAGGGAACTAAGATTCCACATGCTGCAAGGCACAGCCAGAAATTTGTTTTTTAATTAAATTTTTAAAAAGCATGCTCTTTCCATTTTTCTGCTGTCTTCCAAGGCACTAGCTTCATCCTACCATCAGCCTCTCTGAGGGTCCTATAGTGGCCACCAGCTGCAGCTGGGGCTGCCTGGCTCCTGGATCCCAGTTGGTGGATCAGTGGGTTACTGCTTAGCCAGCTCTCAGGGGCAGGGTTTGGTGGAGCTCTGATCTGTAGCTTTCACTAATTGCTGTGGTGTAAATGCTCCCACCACAGTCGATTGCAACCTACCAACTTGACAACATAGTTAAGAAGAGATGCTTTCAGTGGACTCTCGCAAGCCAGTCCTAACCGATGCATCCTTCCCTGGAAAATCTTCTTGGACAGAGGATGGGATCGCATGGACTGGTTTAGACTCTGGCATGGGAGCAAGGTCACCTCCACCTAAACCTTTTGGCAGCTGCACAGTGGGGGCTGGAAGAGGGGAGAGCAGATATTGAGAGAGGCCACCATGATGGACCTTCCCAGAATTCCCTTCCCAACACTCCCACCCAGCCAGCATCTTGCAGCTTCCAGCAGGACCCACCCAGGGTGGTGGTGGGCAGTGGCTGATTTCTGGTTTGCGGGACAATGAAGCCATGAGACAAGCAGACCAAAGAACTCAGGGATAACCAAGGACAGCAAAAGCCAATATCCCATGAAAGTTCCAGGAATTGTGGCATGGATCTTCATCACGGCTGCATGGAGGCAGGCTGCCTGCTGAACAGTAGAGACAGCCATTGCCCAGCGCAATCAGCTTGGTGACGTCCAGGCCAGAGGAGGCAACTGGTACCCCTTCACTCTCAGTCTGCAGGTTCTGGGTCTTTTGGACCATCTCTGAACCCACTGAAGGTACAGAAAGGTTCAAGGTCGGTATCCCGACCACCTCTGTCATGATTTATGACCATGTTGTCAGGTGGCTCGTTTTTCTTTTAAGCTGTGTCCGTACCCTTGGGAAGCCTGTTAGAAAGATGGCTTGATGAGACGTTGACAGTCCAGCTCTAACACGGCCTGCCAAGCTGGCAGTTCCGGCACCCGGCGGGGGCTGCGACTGCAGACCTGAAGCCCCCCTCCAGCTCCCGCTTCCTGGCCCAGAGCGTGTGATGGGCTGGAAGTGATCCTTCCCACATCATCTGTGCAGAAACCTGTTTCTCTTTGCTGCCGGCAGAGTTAATTGCTGAGTTAATTGGCAATGTGTTGTTAGGTGAAAAAGAGCAAGTTACAAAACCGTATTTCAAGTTTGACATTCTTAAGGGAAGGGAAATATATATGTGTCTGTGAGAATGTGTGTGTGTGTGCGCGCGCGCATGTGTTGCAGGAGTGTCTGTGTGAATATAAATGATCATAAGAAACAAGAACAGAGCAGGGGTTCTCACGAGGGGCGATTTCATCTCCCAGGGGATATTTGATAATGTCTGAAGACGTTTTGGTTGTCATTCTGGGGGGAGGGGTGCCACTGACTTCTACTTTGTAGGGCCCAGGGATGGCTAAACATCCCACAGTGCACAGAAGAGGTCCACAACAGAGATGTCAATAGTGCCAAGGCTGGGGGAGCCTGAGATGGAGCAGTGGTTCTCAAAGTGGGATCCTCGGAACCGGCAGGATCACCTGCGAACTCGTGAGAAATGCAGATTCTTGGCCCCACCCCCCAGACCTCCTGAAGCAAACACTCTGGGGTGGGCTCAGGCCATCTGAGTCTTCACAAGCCCTCCTAGTGATGCTAGCACACTCTCCAGCTTGAGAACCACTGGCCTGAGAAGATACATGTTTTATCTCTGGATGAGGGGACACTTTCTCTTTCTCTGTCTTTTCCAAAATCTCTATATTTAGGTAGGTATTGCCTTGTGACCAGGCAAACTATAATCTAAGGTCTTAATTAATCAGTGATGCTAAGGCTTTCTTGTCAGGGGAGGAAAGGTCTGGGGGTTCCAGGAAGTGAAAGTGTTAGTTGCTCAGTCATGTCCACCTGGTTGCAATTCCATGGACTGTAGCCTGCCAGGCTCCTCTGTCCATAGAATTCTCCAGGCAAGAATACTGGAGTAGGTTGCCATTTCCTTCTCCAGGAGATCTTTCCAACCCAGACATCAAATCCTGAACCTCCTGCATTGCAGTCAGATTCTTTCTTATCTGAGCCACCAGGGAAGCCAAGATCAGACAGTAAACCCCGGCTCAGTTTAATAAACAGACTGCGCCACTGTGAATGAGCAGGTGCCCCAAGTCTCAGCTTCCTCATCTGGAAAATGGGTGTGAGATGGTCGCGCTCTCTCAAGTCTATTGCAGGGAATGAGATAAAATATCTCAGGCAAAAGCACCCAGAATTGTTCCAGGTTCGTGGGAAGTGACAAGCAATTTCCTGCCCCTGGCCAGGTATGAACAGTAGGAGGCTAGGGACAGGAGGAGTCCCTGAAGAAGAGGAGGGCAGCCCCGACACCCCCTCTTTGAGGGCAGGGTCTCTAAATGGAGGTAAGCAGGGTTTTGTTCTGTATTTCTGGCTCCCAAGTCCAGGGAGGAAACCAGGCATTAGCTCTCTTACCTCTGCGGGACACTGACTGGACCAAAGCTGAAGTTACCTGCAAGAAACCTGCAGTTTCTTTCTGTAAAAGTCTAAACACACAGAGATTATCTGGGAGTACTGGAGGGGTGGGGGCAGAAACAAAGATCCCCAGAGCTGGGGAAGGGAGCACCCCCAGGCCCTCTGAGAAGCGGGCTCCCAGAGGCCCTGACTCCCAGAACCCGAGAAAGGGGGTGGCTGTGGTGTCCACAGAGAGCCTGGACTCTGACCCCAAGGAGCCACAGAAATACAAGACTCCAGGAGACCACTGAGCATGGCCAAATGCGTCTCCATGGTGACCGTGTAGACCAGAGACTGGTCCTGAAAGCTGCGGGCTGTGCAAAGTCCCTGTGGCAGGGTTTGGAGAGGAAGAGCCATTCAGGGCTGGGACTGCATTCGCTCCCAGCCCAGGCCGACTTCACCGGATGCAAAGAAAGGCCTGACAGAGTGACACCAACTTAAGTTTGTGATATCCGATTCTTCCTGGTCATCGCACACTCCATCCTCTGATGTGGATGTTCAGGGGGTTTCTCCAGGGCAGGCGTCTTCTCCAGATCCGGTTCCTGCAGTTCGGGTGGGTTTTCCACAGCCCCACTTTCACAGCACATGGCAGCCAGCAGCCTCCAGTGGCCATCAGCTTTGGCTGGCACCGACCCAGGGGTGGTTCTGCGGACTGTGACACTCCTTGTGAGTGGCTTCCCAAAGCCCCCGAGAGAGCTTCTGTGCTGTGCGGTGCTTAGTCGCTCAGTCGTGTCTGACTCTTTCTGACCCTGTGAACTGTAGCCCACCAGGCTCCTCTGTCCATGGGGATTCTCTAGGCAAGAATACTGGAGTGAGTGGCCATGCCCTCCTCCAGGGGATCTTCCCAACCCAGGGATCGAACCCAGATCTCCCGCATTGAGGTGGATTCTTTACTGTCTGAGCCAGCAGAGAGCATAATTCCAGCAAATTCCAAGGTGGATTTCCAGCAAGTCCCACTGGTGTGACACCACAGCAACTTCTCTGCCAGGGCAGTGCCTCTCCAACAAGGCCCAGACCTCGGTCCTCAGTTGGGGTAGGGGGAGGTGGGTCTTCCTCCTAGGGTACCCAAGCCCCTCTGAGGGAGGAATCCTTGTGCCCACTTGACAGATGACAGAGCAAGACTAAAGAGGCAGCTGACCCCCCTAAGGCCGTACATGGGGCAGGCCCGTGCCTGAGCCCCTAATCCTCAGGCCGTACAGTCTCCAGCCTCAAGGAGGTGATGCTTCACACCCAGCTCCTCCCACATGACCCTCTGAAGCCCCTCACCCGGCAGCACCACCCAGGAGACTCCCAGTGCCCCCAGCCCCTCCCAAGAAGGCCTCATGTGCAGGGATGTGAAGACAAGTGAAAAGAGCTCCAGAGCAGCCCACACCACAGAGGGTGCTTCCCAGAAGAGGAGAACCAGCAAGGGGGCAGAGGTCTGGGCACCAGAAGACAGGTATCTTCCATTTGCAACAGGGGACAAGGACTGGGAAGGTCATGGAAGCAGCAGAAATTTCCAGGAAGCCAGCATAGGCAACCCAAGGAGAGACGACCCGCGGCAGGCCCAGGATCCCCACCAAGGGCGGAGACCACGTTGTCCTAAAGTGAACCAGGCCACGCAGGGACAGGAACCTCCCTGGGTCACCCCGGACCCCTCCCTCCTCACCCAAGAGCCGGGACGGTGTGGCCACTGTGGTTGAGGATGTCCCCTCCCACGGCCTCGGGAGCCGGGTAGTGCTCGAGACACCACTTCAGTGGTCACATGCGCTTCTGGTGATGAGGACATCGTGTTTGGGGACATTGAGCTGGATGCTCTCGGGTACTATTGTAGAGCCCCTGAAGTCTGTCCAGCGCTGAGGAAGCTGTCAAGGATGCAGGCCACCTAGCACTTCCTTGTGTGACCGTGCTCAGGCCGGGTCCACCACAGCAGCACCCTCCTCCCCTCCCATCCCACGAACGCTAGTTCCTGTCTGAGCCACGGTCAGAACTCGGGCACCACCCCGGGCTGTGTCACAAGCGGACCCTTTATACACATTAATGATCAGCTGAAAAAATCCAGATACACGCAGTTAGAGATGAATAGGAAGTTTACGCCCATCACCAGACCCGCTCCCAGCAGGGGGGACCTTGACAAGGGCAGACGGTCTGGGACCAGTTCTACAGGTAGGCAGCAGGGGGCGCTTTGAGTGACCCACGACAGGTGACCCGACCTTGCGGGGCTTCCGTTCCTACTTCGGTAAAGGAGGGCGAAGACAGCGCCCCCTTCAGGGAGTTCTTGGGAGGATCTGTGAGATTACATGCCTGCTGCTAAGCTTGGTCGGACTGCCTGAACCCACTGAGCACGCACAGCACAGCTCTGAGCCCACGAGGGAAGCTCGGGTGACATCGTGACTCTTGGCAGCTCTTGCAAAGAGACCACCTCACCACCGGTGATCACCCGTCACCAGACACTGCATCATTGCTCTTTTTGTTTTTTCCTGGTGGATTCGAGACTCAGGCCTCCCATCCCCCCACTTCTGGACCAGGCTGGGCCCTCAGTCTCGAATCCTCGTAGATGAAGTCCCAGGGTGGGCTCTGAGCAGAAACACCCTTGTGCCCCGAGCCCCAGGGAAGACAACTTTCCATGTACCCCTCACCCTAAATTAGGCTCTCCCCATGGCCTGAGGAGATCTGGAGGTAAGGAGGGAGCTTTGAGAAGAAAGGGAGGGTTTATGAGAGGCAGCCAGGACCCAGGGGAGGGAGCAGCCCCCCCAAAGTCTCTCCAAGTCTCATCTCCTCTCTTGGGGATCCATTTTGATGCTGTGCAAGTGTCTGAGCTGGCTTGGACGGTGACAGCATCTGGCTTTTAGCAGGACAAAGAAGTAATAATCCTCAGAGGAACTGATGGTTACCTTGTGGTTTCCTTGGAAACCGAGCCCCCTGCTCACCTTCCCTCAGCTTCTTCTTCCCCCTCTGCTGCCTTGATCTGGACCATGAATTCAAGAAGGGCCAGGTGGCTGCCTTTTTAAAAGGCGACCTTCCGGTCAGCAAACCAGACACAAACGAAACTTTAGAAGATGGGAGAGGGAGAGACAGACAGACAGAGACAGACAGATAGACATTATGGCCACCTTCCCAAGAGCAGCCAGCCCGTCCAGGCAGCCCCCAGGCCCAGAGGATGAAGATGCCATCCTAGATGAGTACGACCTCTACAGCCTGGCTCATTCTTACCCGGGAGTGGGAGGCCGGAAAGGTCGCAGCAAGAGAGAAGCCGCCATCAACACCAACCGCCACAGCCCTGGTGGGCACGAGAGGAAGCTGGTGACCAAGCTTCAGAACACGGAGCGGAAAAAGCGAGGGGCACGGCCCTGAGACAGGACTGGAGATGAGGCCAGAAGACAGACACCCACAACAATGGAAATAGGACTGAGGCGGAACCAGCCCTGGGGGTGAGATCCAGGCCTGCTTGCCACACCTAAGCCCCAGGACTTAACCCCACCTGACTGAGGCTCCTGGGGCGCCATGGAAGAAGCACCCCCAGCCCCAGAGAAAGGACAAGATGGGGAGCAAGAGGCAGAGAATAGACAGAGGCAGAATCAAGAAGGTACCTCCCCCCAAAAAGAAGAAACCAGAGCTCCCCAGGGTGACGGTGACAATAAACAAAGTGTAGCAGCTAAAAAAATAAAAAATAAAAGGCGACCTTCCACCAATCAAGAGAAAGGAACCCCACGATTTCCCTGTCTTTCATGTAAGCTCCATACTTCAGGGTCACCAAGGAACCCTAGTTGCTGAAGCAAAGAATTCCTGCAAATAAATGTGGGACAAATGGTAGGATTAGGAAAGCACTGTTTCATAACTTCCAATAAAATACTGGATTCAGGCAGTAATCATCAATAGTTAAAACATTTTGAGGATAAGTCAGTGGGTGTTCTGGTCAATAACAATCCATCCAAAGCACTGTGGCTGACAATAGCCATTTCACAGGCTCTCTCACAGTCATAGTGGGTCCAGCTGTGTGGGGCTCACTCAGAGTCTCGCAGACATTTGGGGTCAGATGGCAGCCGGAACTGGAGTCATCTAGTCATCATCTCTATCTATCTTACAGTCTGATGCCTCAGCTGAGATAATGCTGCCAAAATCCTGGCGCTCTGCACCAATGCCGAAAAGAAATACAGAGTTAGAGTTTTGGAAGAGAGAGAAATAAAGAAATAAAGAGTAGCTTTATTGCTTTGCCAGGCAAAGAGGAAACACAGCAGGCTATCACCTCAGAAACTGTGCCCCCATGGAGGAGGCAGAGAGGAGTTTACAGTGTCCAAGGAGCAGGGTGTGACCAGTTCATGGACATTTTCAGATTGGTTGGCATCAGGGTGAAGTTTCAAGCATCATCAACTTTCTGGTTTCAACCAGTCTAAGGTCTTGTTCTTGTGGTCAGCAGTTGTCATCTGGAGGGGGTCTGCTTCCTGTAAAAACAACTTACGTATGTGTGTCAGGCCTTTATCTATATCTTTCAGGGAACTGTGAATTCGGTGATTGTGCCATGTGGCAGATTTACAGCCTAAAGTTGTTACCAGTTCCCCAGACCAACAGCTATTCTTTCTTTCTATGCCTTCACATTTTCCAGTCATTAACTCTTGAGACAGTATTCTACTTCAGAAGACAAGGACACAGGGGCTTGTACATGGTTCCAAAGACAAGAACAGTGGGGGCTGGTGGGGTATCCCTCTCGTCCACGTGGCTTGGGCTTCCTCCCAGCATCGCAGACTCAGGGCAGCCAAGCTTCTTGCATGGCAGCCGGCTGCCCCCAGAGTGAGGTTCTGAATGACTAAGGGGGAAGCCCCAAGACTTCCTCGGAAATGACAGTGTCACTCTCACTGCATGCTAGGGTCGATGACAAGGCTTAGAGCCAGCAAGATTTGAGGACTACAAAAAGATGTGAACACTTTGACTCAGTTGGGTGGGGGAGCATCGTTGGAGACTAGCTGCCAAATGAGGAGCTTTACCATGGAGGGGACAGTTGTCCCCTTCAGAATCCACGAAGCATTTTTAGCATCGCTGAAAGGGACAGGCCGATGTGCGTGCCTCCTGACATGGGGCAGTGGACGCCCCAGCCCCACCATGGAGTGTTGGTTGAGCCCAGTTCTAATTGAGACCTTATTTCCCAGAACTGCAGGGGTTAAGAGGTAGCAATACGGTGAGGAGGAAAAGGGGGATTCAGGACGTGGAGCAATCCTCACAGATTGATTTGTAGACTAGGCTTCTACAATATGTCAACAGCATTAAGTTAAAAGAGAGAAGGGATGGAACCAGCCCTAGAATGGAAAGACTTTAAGAATCTTAGGGGCTTCACGAGTGGCTCAGTGGTAAAGAACCTGCCTGCCAATGCAGGAGACACGGGTTTGATCCCTGATCCGGGAAGATCCCGCTGTGGGATGCCGTGGAGCAACTGAGCTCCTACGTCACAACTATCGAGCCTGTGCTGTAGGGCCTGGGAGCCACAACCACTGAAGCCCGCACCCGCTACAGCCCATGCTACATAACAAGAGAAACCACTGCGATGAGAAGTCCATTCACCACAACTGGGGAAAAGCCTGAGCAGCAGTGAAGACCCAGCACAGCCAAAAGCAAACAAATAAATAAAATCATTTTTTTTTTAAGAACCAGAAAGACAAAACCCTGCATACAGGGCTCTTCTGGATCCAGAATCCAAACAGACCAACCATAATATAAATAGACACTTTTGAGGCAAGCAGGGAAATTTGATTATCGACTGGGTATTGAATGATCCCAAGGGGTTGTTATTCCTTTTGTTAGGTATGATCATGGTTTTGTGGTTATATAAAAGTGT